TATGTACCGCAACATTGCACTGCCACCTTGCTTTGACTTTGAGTTTTTTCCCGCCTAAACCCTGTATCGGTGGTTGAAAGAGAGTATATACCAGTGGAGTAATCGGAATATTGTCATTGATAGTAGCTAGCCCATGTTATTAGAGCTATACCTAACTTTATAGTGTTCGTTTCCTAAACAGCAGTTGTGACCGTAATCCGTTTTAACTTTTCTCTAGTATTCATATTACCACTTGTGAAATTCTCTCCTTCCAGCTTAAACCATAAGTTTGGGTGATTAATTTACTATTTGGAATAAAGTTAGGCTAGTAAAAGCGATACAGATATTAGCAACCGCTGTCGACAGATATTTGCATAGATATATAGATAATCTTTTATAGATATTCTTCAAAGCCAGTGTCCTTGCACGCTTGGAAGAAGCGAGAAATACGGTTCTCACGAATCTTGTTACTGGTATCCAGACTCATATTCGATGGTACTTTGCACAGATCAAATACCGTCAGCGAGTCAAAGAGAGGTCAGATTCGTCTAATTACTTTATGTACTGACAAATGATATAAAGCTGATAGCACTAATCAATGACGGATGTTCTGATCGGTGAATGTCTTAAATGTTTTAGACTGAACGTTATCCAAAATGTTAGACATCATTGTTTAATTACTCAAAGTTTCATGGCGTACTCTTAATTGGGGCCTGTATGAATACATTATTTCAAAAAATAATGTTAGCACTATTAAGAGTAAGAGGTCTGCCTGCCAGATAAAATTTCCAGTAGATTTAGACTCTGGTAAAATTAAAAGTTAACAGAATTTATTGAATTTAACTGTGTCATTTATAATTTATATGAAAAGTTTTATACAGATTCAGTACGTGGGAAATTACTTTAATCTTAGCAGGGTTCGTTAATTTTGAATTCTCCCCTTTACTTGCGTAGGCTTTGATTCAGCTTTTCAAACAAGACCTGTTTCTTGGTAGACTCTTCTGAAATGAGTCAATATGACGTAAAAATCATCTGCAGCGTCATATTTTTTTCATCATCATTGGAGAACGTGTCAAGGACGCCTTTGTTGACTTTGTTTGAATATATTATCATTATCAGCACCGTTTTTCGATTCAGTACACATTCCATGGTCATTGACCAGCGGTTTGTAAGCTAGCTGTCCTGAAATGTCGTATTCCAGCGTTTGTCGAAGCTTTCAAGCCAGAGATTTTTCGAAGGACCTTAATTTTTAATGCTGTTTCGCAGGTTAGACATTTTTCCTATGTTCTGGTACTCAATACATGGTGGATGGGTCCACAGACTTGACAACAGATGATGCACAATACTGCTTAGCTTGTTGGAATGCTACCTTGTACACCGTAAGCTGGATATGCGCGTCTTGGTGACCTTCAAGCTGCTGTTGGCTAAATCGTTGAAAGCAACGCTTAGCACGGACTACTCTGCCACGTACAACTGACTGAATATTAAATATCATATTTCTATAGCATTCCTGCCTTGACCAAACTTAGATGGGATAGCCACAAACAGTCATATCGCATACTGAATCGCGAGCTTTAAGAACATCAGTCTGATTTTCTATGTAGATGAACACAAGTTGTTTTGCTTCGCTCTGCTTACTGTATTCTAAGGTGAGACATATTAATTGGCAGGCTTATATTAGTCAGCGATTTTTAATGACTGTCTCAGAATATTATTTTATTTGCGCATTTATCACTGCTAAACATTTCTGCTTAAATGCCATTTCTTACATCCTGTTTGGATTGAAATAACCATTCCGGCGGAAAGAAGAAAGCGGATATATTGAAATGATAGCTTTATAGACATTTATGCCGGGGTAAAGATTTTCCACACCTTTAGACTCGTCATCATCGTGATACAACGTCAGTTAGAATTTCCGTAAATAATGCAAGCAGCACACAGATTGCGAAGCATCGATCAGTGATTACTGGTTTAGCATTAGCTTATCATTTTTTAATATAAAATTCACATTCGGATGCTCTAATTTGACTACTTACCTTACCTTTAAATGTGATAACCGACGTTTACTAATTTAGCTCCATTATAATTTCTGTTTGGTGAAACTCATGGCGCCTT